CGGGCTCAGGCAATCCACTCACCTCAGCCTCCCAAAGGCGTGGGATTACAGGCTGAGCCACCGAGCCCGGCAACACCAAGGATTCTTATAGTCCCAACCTAGTTGTCACTTGTCAATACCAACATTTGTAAATTAACTCTTGGTGAAATTTACTCTAACCTTAAACATCATCTATTTTTGACTGATATACAGTATATTGTAGCATTTATGAGAATTTAAAGAATGCTAGAGCACTTGTCTACCTAACCAAAGCCTTAGGAAGTATTAAACATTGATGAATCTTGCTTAATGGACCCTGAGAATTCACAAGTAAAATTTTTCACTACACATTAGAGGAGAAATCAAAGAGACTACAAGATCCAAACAAAATCTTTTTTTTTTTCTTTAAGCCAGAGAACTCTGGAAAAGGAGACATACACTTGAAAAGTGGAAAGAAGAGAGAGCAGCCTCAGAACTAACTCAAGACTTCTAAACTCTAACGTCTATATAGCCAGGCAAGGAGCAGTCATGAAGGAAAGCTGCCAGGTGAAAACCAGAAAGTGCATCCTAGTGAGGGACCAGGTCCAGCTCTGGCCTAGTCTAGCTATGTGGAGTTGAGAGCACAGGGTTACTTTCCCTGACTCCAAAGTGTAGAAAGCTAGATCTTTTAAAATCTAAAATTGCCCAATATTTTATTATGCTTAGTGTAGTGAATTTTTAAAACGACTTAAAACTCTGTGTGAACTAAACAAAACATGTGAAAGTCCAAAATAGATAAAGAACAAATACCTCTTTTATAATAACAGAGTTATTACAAAGGCTTAGGGGTCTTTATTACAGATTTGGTCATCAAAAGGGGAAAGCAAAGAGACAGAACTTAGATTTATTGGCCTCCTACCCTGTGCCTTACATTTTAAAATCTCATTTGGGTGTCAGAGTTGGTAAGGGAGGAGACATTGTTGCCGTTTTCCAGATGAGGAAACAGTCCATGGATGATAGAGACAACTACTCTAGGCCATACAGCTAGGAAATGGAGGAGCAAAGCAGATTTCATATTTAGATCTTTCTAATCCCCAAACTACACTGTTGCTCTGGCAGTCATGAGAATAGCACCTTGCAGACCTTCAACTAAAGGGAGCGCAAAGTTTCAAGGGGCCACCACCAAGCTCTGAGCTCCAGCTCCATCGCTGCTTTTGCCCAGAAGCTCCACCTCCCATAGTGGCTCCCAGCCAATCATTGAACTTGGCCTGTAGCTGGGCGACCTGAGACTCTAGAAGCTGGAGCTTTGGTCAACATTTCCTAGACTGCGTGATGGTCTAAGATGCTTCTGCCCGATTTTCTCTTCTTCTTCACTCGATTCAGACTCTAAATCGCAGTCTGAGGACTCTCCCAGTCTTTTCCAGCTCCCGCCCATTTTCTCTCACAGGTGTTTCCCCCAACAAAACCTGTGCACCAAAACTCCACCACTCCACCCTGGTCTGCAAGGGGAAATGCATCTATCCAGTAATGAGTCTTTCTTAAAAATTGGTATCTATAGCTTTTCATATCCCAATCCTGACGTCCCAGGAATCTGTTAAACAAAGTGTGATGTGACGACGACGACACCACCACCACCACCACCACCACCACCACCACCACCACCACCACCACCACCACCACCACCACCCAGCTGAGCACCAAGAAGCGGGTGACCATCCAGCCTGCGGCAGTGGCCCACTGCAGCACTCACCTGGTCTCGCTGCTTGATTCGTTTGTAAATATATTCAGCAAATGGTTTTCGTGGAATAAACTTCCCATCTCCTGCCTTGACATTGAACACTCCAGCTTCATACACCACTTTGCCTCTCGAAATAGTCACAAGGGGCACCCCATGGCAAACCATGCCCTCGAAGATGTTGAAGTTAACGGCCTGATGATGAGTTTTTGCTGAGATCGTCCTGTGTTTGTACAATCAAAACAAAAGCTCCAGATCACCACCAGCTCATTTATTTGATGACTATAAAATATTAAAAGAAGAATGACTTAGAAGAAAATTTAGCAACTCTATTAAGCCACAGCTCCATCACTGTAACAAGTGGCTTCAAGAATAGAACATAACATTAACATTTCATTACAAAGTAATTACATTTTCTGAGAGAAAAAACCCGAGATCACTCTTTAAGGTGATTGACGAGGATGGAATAGGTAGACTTAGGACATTGTCTTTCATGTGTAGATTTTTAGATTAACTTTTATTTTTGTGTTAATGGATACATTTTTCACTTTTAAATTATAAAATATTTTAAACACAGAAGCGTTTGATGAACACACTCATTCCACATCTAGCTCTACAGAATTTTGACTGTTTGCAGATGAGGCAGAGGCTGCCTCAATACCCCTTCCCAAATCCCATTTCCATCCTGCCTTCCCAGAAGTCATCACTATTTGATGGTTATCAAAGGGAAATTGGTAGTTATCAAGGAAAACTATATCTGGAATTTCTTTCCCTTATCTGTGGCAAAACTGAAAATTTGAGGATGAGAGAAATATAATCTCTCAGCATACTCTACGTCAAGCACTTGCATATTCATCCTCACTCTCAATAGTTTGTTAATACTTTTCAATCTTACATAATATGATTGATGACTTCCAGGCTGGGTATTTGGAAATGCTTGGTGCCTCCTCTTCTTAAAATTTAAATGGAAAAGAAAAGAAAAATCTGGCAGCAGTGAATAATAGGAGCATAACTGAATTCTGGTAGAAGTTTCTACAGTCCTCTTGGGAATGGGTTAAAGAGAAGTACTCTACTAAAATCCTCAAGGTGGAATCTACAAAAGGGCAGCCAAAGGCTCTTCCAGTCCTGGATGGCTGAGCTAGGACCTCTGGCTGTCGTGTGCTGCAGTTCTAGCAAGGGACAGGATAACACCGGCCTGGTTCACTCTTCCAAATTCCATATCCAACTGCTCATTTGGTTTCCAATCCTAACACGCCCCAACAGAATTCTTGATTTCACTGCTGACCACATTCCACCCACTTGAGCTTGTTCCTCCCTTGAGTTTCTAATCTTCATAAATGATGTATTGTCTACTTCTCCTGGCCCCTCAAAATAATTATCAAGCTTGTTGGTTCTCCCTCCTCTCAAAATAAATCCCAGGAGGTCTGCCCACTTCCATTCCTCTCCTTGGCTCCCATTAGTCCATACTGTCATCTCCCACTTGGACAATCCCAACACCTCTTTATTGCCTTCTTTATTTCAGCTCTTATTCTCCTGTATTCCTTACCACTCTCCACAAAGCCATTCAAATGATCGTTTAGAAATGAAAATCAGATCATGTCATTTTCTTGCTCGAAACCCTCAATGGCTCCAGGCTGTTCCCCAAGAGCCAAATTGCTGTTAAAAAAAAAAAAAGCTCGTTGATGACATATTAAAAAAGAATCTGCTCCCCATGAGAATTATCCCCTATGAAAAGGTAAAAAGAGGAGCATCCAGTATGTCAGGTAGATAGTTTATATGTCTTACTTCATCTTTAGAACACCTCTTCAGGGTACAAGGTATTTTCCATATTTTACAGCAAAATACATTGAGATTTAGAAAAGTTAAGTTATATGTCAATGGACATATGACTAGTCTGATGGGATCTTTTTATATTTTTAAAATTTACCATCAAAATGACTTGGTGTACAGTTCTGTGAATTTTGACACATCGATTCATGTTACCGTCACCACAATTAGGACAAGGAACAGTTCTAACACTCCCAAACGCATACTATCCCTTTGTGGTAACACCCACTCCCACCCCACCTCTTGTCAGCTGTTATTCTGGTCTCCATCATAATCATTTTCTCTTTTAGAGATCATCATATAAGTATAGTCATAGAGCAGGTAAACTTTTGAGACTGATTTCTTTTGTTCTACATAATTCCTTTGCGATTCATCCAAGTTGTTGTGTGTATCAATAGCTCATTCTTTTTGATTGCTGAGTAGTATTCCACTGAATAACTATGCCTCAGTGTGTTATCCATTTATCCACTGCAGGACCTTTGAGTTGTTTCCAGTGTTTGATGATTGTGAATAGAGGTGTAATAAATATTCAGGTACATGTTTTGCATGTGTACTTCTCTAGCATAAATACCCAGGAGTGAAATTGCTGGATCATATTTCCAGTGTATGCTTAAAAAAACAAAAGAGCCTTCCATGACCTTAGGAATCAACTTACTGATAAAAAGAAACGTTTAGAGGAGCCTGAGATAGATACAAACGCAACAACAATAATATCAAACACTAAGGAGGAGGGCAGGGTATTGATAAATGGCACCCATGTCACTAAACAGGAGCCTGAAGAAAATATTTAAAGGGATACTAAGTATGGAATGAATTATGATGAATTATAAGTTGGTGATGAAAGATACAAACTCAGAGAAAATAAATCTAGGAAACAATATAAATGGGCTTCAGAACTTCAGATTAAAGTGACTTTTTCTGGCCATCACAATCTCTCTGTCAAATGTTTTCATAACCTGGGCTGCTGCATCCCTACATATCACAGTCATATTGATGACAAGAATAATTGAACTTGTATTACAGAATGCTACATAAAGATGTTTGAACTGATGCATTAGTAAGGATGCTATATGGACAGAGTAAAATGAATTAAAAATTTATGCTGAAATGGTTCTTTGAAGTAGAGGAATTGGAGGGAAAATTCTAAATAAAGAGTTACTGAAGCCCTTAGGAAAATAATCTAACAGAAGAAATACGCTCTATACATAGAAACTGCTGTTGCAATATTGCCTAAACTATTAAAAAACTGAAGCATAATAATTTTCCAATGACTATTCAATAGAATGTTAGGCATTTATGAAAGACTGGAATTAAGAATACTCTAGGGAAGCAAAAATTCCTTATAATTATATACTATTAAATGGAAAAAACAGGCTATATAATATGTACACAATGTCTATAAGGAAAACACCAATGCATGTGGACAAATGCAAAAGAAATATTCAAATTAAAGTTTGTGGGCTAAGAAAAATAAATATAGTGAATTCAAAGTATCTTCAGAGTTCTTGTGATACTGTTTCTATGACTTACATTGTGATCTTAAAATGAGGTTGACACAGCAAAATATCAGATCAGATTTATCTGTCTCATGCCAAATAAAGGACATTACCTCGACTTTCTCAGCCTTGGAGTTAGCAAGAGAAAGAGGACAATTAGACAACATCTAAGAGATTCTTTATAAGAAGGCATTATGCAAATGAAGTCAAATTAACACGAAATGCAAATCTGAGGCATGACCACCAGCGGCAAAAAGAATGTGCTTCCACGTCCCCAGTAGAAGGTGTCGGACAGGGTGTCCTTTGTCACCCAACTTTTACCTTCCAGCTGAAGCTGTAATTCTCCAATCTTAGGTGTTTTCACATTTCCGAATCCTAAAGTTCTCTTTACCCTGAATGCCCTCCTCACTTCTGTCCCTCGCCCTTCCCCAGAACTTCCACTCAAGAATCCTGGCCCCAAGAAGCTGACCTTGACCCCACAGGGTGAGCATTTTCCTCTGTTGTTTAGCATTATCCAACTGCAAGGGTATAGTGATGATCTCTTGACAAGGAAGCCGCCCCTTCCTGCTTGGTGCACACTTTAAGACACAGACCACGTTGTTTTATTTGCAATATATAGTACATGCTTTATCAATACTTATGCAGCGATCAAATAAGTGGATTGCATGATTTTCCTCCTCCTTAGTCAGATCAGTTTTACTTCCTACTTTCCCTGTCTTCTGAGACATGTCTGTGTTTTGGAAATAGAACATTAAATTAAATGGGAGGCAAACACTCAGGACAGAAGTTCTGCTGGGTACCTGACATTTCTGGCAGGCTGTACAAGTTAGTGAGTAATAAGTAGATCCGTAAAATGGTTATAATTATCATATTGAGTTGCAGTTTATCAGCTTATATGAAACAAGTATTCATCAAATCCTAGAACTACTTGGCAAGACCAATATTATCAACCATGATAAGTATGCAGCTAAGTAGTATTACACCATTTCCCAGATGACAATGCTGAACTAAAGCTGTTTAAGAACTTGCCCAAGGTTCATGTGATTTAATAGTGAATGAACCGAGAGGTAGGATACCAATATTATCAACCATAATAAGTACACAGCTAAGTAGTATTCTCCCATTTTTCAGAAAAGAATGTTGAACTAGAGCTGTTTAAAAGCTTGCCCAAGGTTCACATAGTTTAATATTGAATGGCCTTCTGAGGGGTAGGACCCACTTTCATCTTTTGAGAATACTCTTCAATTTGTAACCCTACCATAAGGAGGTTAAAAAAATTGTGGTATGTTTTCAATATTTAATTAACAGACAGTTTTTTAAGCACCAATATACATTGCAATATTACCACATCATTTATAAAATTACTATAAAACGTTGTTTAAGATCTATACCTTTGTAGTGCAGTATGGGAGACGTGGTCCATTAACGGAACAGATGAAAGATAAGAGTCACACACCTTTGTAAGGACATCTATAGTTCCTTTGAACAAACTTCCTTTGAGGAATTCTACCCAGGGCAGAAGCCAGGAATGTGTCTTCCCAGCCTCCTTTGCAGCTGGGGCCCAAGCATATAACCTGGGTTCCTATGAAATGGTGCCCTAGAACCAGACTTTGCATGGCATGTTGGTGATGCAGGAAGCAGGTGTCCCAGGAATCTGCATTCATTTAGAGCCTGGGTTTAAGGTCAGTTGTGACAGAGGTTCTGGCAGTAGGGTCTGAGCCTGCTGCAGTAAGGTGATCACCGTTATCTGTGCTCAGAAACAGCATCAGGGCTCTCTGCTGTCCTGTGGTATCAGTCCTGGTTGTGCAGTGTCTCAGCCTGGTCCTCCTGCCTTCCTAGGCATTGTATGACTACCCAGAATCCTTTGATACAGGCTCTTTATGTTTAACTACCTAGAAGG